TTAATCTAGGGACTCCAGGATCATGACCTGAGTCCAAGCAGCCACTTAACTGACTGAGACACCCAGGGGCCCCATGTATGACCAAGTCTTAATGTTACTTAAGGTCACCTCCTCCAAGAAGCCTTTCCTGACTACTTCACCTTCCAACCGAACTTGAACAAAACCCAGAGCTTAGCTTTATAGGTTTAGGCTTCCTAAAGGCTAATCTTATTCTCCAAATAATTCCTGAAGAAGCAACTAATTTTGACTTGGATTTTACTGTATTTCTCCTATGCTTTTAGTAAATGCCAAGTACACGGCACATCATTCTGATGATGAAGAAACAGCAACATAAATGGGGTGATAGTTTGAAAGACGCTAATCCACAGGAAACTGGTTTACTGGGCTGGACTAGGTAATGTGCAAGCCAAAAGCTAGTCTCTTCTCCCACCCACCACCAAATCTTCAAAGCTGCTCTTTCCCCATTTCCTCCCAGCCTGTCACTGGCATCTCCAGTGGGTCCTACAGCTTTCACATATTAGGAAGTCCAGCACACATAACCCAGGTCAGCCTGCCAGAAAGATGGAGAAGGGGGAGAGGAAGGGAACAACTTCTTTATTTTCCCAGTTTGTTCCTCCCTGACTCCTTCCCACACCCACCAGGATGCATCTGATTTTTCCCAGGGAACGGGGTGGGGGGGTGGATAATAGAAAAAGATGTTTTAATTCCCTCTGCATATCAAGAGGAGAGCTTAGAAGGGTTGATCCCAAAGTTTTATTCTAAGTCATAATGAAGAGAGGACAGAAGGTATGACCTAATGAAGACCGGCCCCACAAGTTAAAAAAAAAAAAAAAAAAGAAAGAAAGAAAGAAAAGAAAAAGCTCTCGGGGAACCTGGCTGGCTCCGTCAGTGGAGGAGCACGTAATTCCTGATCTCAGGGTGGTAAGTTTGAGTCCCACATTGCATGCAGAGATTACTTAAAAATAAAATCTTTAAAAATTTTTTTAAAAAGCTCTACTGGTACTGAGAAAAGAGGAACCTGGAGGGACAGAGTCCCTTCTCCCCCCTTCCCATGCACCTTGCCCAGAGAAGGGGTAGTAAGGGAAGAAAAATCTCTTGTAGGTTGAGGGGGACACAGAAAGCATGGGAAGTTTTCATCCTGCTTCCTACTGGGAACACTGGGGACAGCTTGGGACAGTGGAAATGGAAGCCTAGCATATAGTGCCTCCCAACCTGGGCAGGTTCTCATGTGCCCAGGAGAGACCTTGAAGAGAACCAGAGTGTGCAGAGCTCCAGACCAGATGCAGGAACCAGGTCCCAGCTGTGGCTTAGCCCAGGGAAACCCAGCCGGACCATCCTCTACAGACAGGGAAAAGAGGGGTGCCTGGGTGGCCCAGTGGGTTAAAGCCTCTGCCTTCGGCTTGGGTCGTGATCCTGGGGTCCTGGGATCGAGCCCCGTGTCGGGTTATCTGCTCGCCAGGGAGCCTTCTTCCCCACCTCTCTCTCAGTCTGCCTCTCTGCCCACCTGTGATTTCTGTCTGCTAAATAAATAAATAAAAATCTTAAAAAAAAACAAAAACAAAAACAAAAAAAACACACACACACAGGGAAAGGAGGCCCAGTTGTGAGGAGGGGAAACTCCCCAGAGGACAGCAAGAGGACCAGATGACTGGCAAGAGGCCACTCTCCCACACACCCTGATGTGACTACAACCTTCTCCTGGTAACCAGAGACCACCTGTGGGGAAAAGGGGCCCCCAACGGTTACCAACACAGACTGAGACACTGACTCACAAGGGACAAGCTGCTTTAAGCTAGTGACTGAGATAATACTACTTGACTTGGGCTCAGGAAAATTACAATCATGAATGAGGACTAAATATACCAAAAGGGAACCAAAGTCATTTTGTTTGCAGTAGCAAAATTAAGTTCATTTATAAAATGTTTTGCATAGTATGACCTGTGGCTGGTGAACTTCACCACTCCAAAATAAACCCTCAACAGGAAACATCTCTACTTTGGTTCAGCTGCTTCTGAAGGGTCTTTGTGCAACACAAGCAGAACTTAAGAGTGTCTGTGTATGGCAAGGCACAACCTCCACAGGAAAAGCAAGTGGTTGCAAGCTTGCAAGGCAAATCCAGGCCCCCAAGCCATCACAGAAAACTTACCCTCCAGGAGGGCCAGTGCCTTCACACACATTCTCTCATTGAACCCCGCCAGCATCCCTGTGAGCTGGCTATTATTACTCCCATTTTGTGGAATGGCAAACTGAGACTCAGCAGGATTCAGTGACTAGCTCAGATGACCAGGCTGAGGGGCCATACCAATAGAACAGCCACCCATCACTGTCCCTACATGGCTAGTCCTATGCAACAGCCCCATGCCATGCATAAGCTGTGCATCATCTATGGAGGGTCCACTTTTTAAAAAATTTTATAAATGAGGAAACTGATGCTTACAGAGGTTAAGAAACTGGACTCACAGGCAAGTTTAGAACTAGACTGAGGAAAGTGAGTCATGCACCTCAGGCACAATATTTAGGGGGATATCAAAAAACTCCCTAAGGTGAAACATTTTAATGCAATGTTTTAAAACATCAAATGAACACAAAATCTACATTGTTCTAAATATCACAATTTTGAATAAAGACAGGATTCATATTAGTGATTTTTCCTTTTGCCCCAGGCTCCAAAATGGCTCAGCACAGCACTAGGGCAGAGCAAGGAAACCAGCCACTTCAATCCTTCTCCACCAGCCCCCAAAGACAGGGATCCCAGATACCACTGCAGGGGCCCTCTCCAGATGCTTCCCCTCACTATTTTATAACCTCAAAGGGCTCTTAGGAGTGACCATCATGCTCCATAAATCCAGATGAGGGGGGGTGGCTGAGTTCCAGGTTGAAGACCAGAGGTCTTAAGAGATTTATTCCGTGGTCCCCAGCGTGTGTTATGTAAATGAAGGAAGCTTGCAGGCTTGAATAAGGGAGTAGGATATTTTAAGATACCAGCTTGAGAAGGTATGGGGTGGGCTCTGAAAGATCAAACAGCTGCTTGTCTCCCACTTGATAAATTTCCTGGCTCAAAATTAAGTGTTCGACAGTGACACGATGCCAGCTGTCAGCCTGTACCTACACAAGTCCAATTCAAACGGTGGCATTCCTTTTTCCTTGCATTTCAAAAGCCAAATGTTAGCTCCTTTGAGTAACTACCTATGCTCTGATCACTTGTTAACCTCAAATTAAAGCCCTACCTGATATGAAGCATCTATTCAAGATCTATTTTATCGATTAAAATTTGAACACTGTGGTGAGCATTGCATAACATATAGAACTGTCGAATCACTATGTTGCACACTGGAAACTAATATAACATTGCATGTCAACTATGATTAAAAAAAAAAATCACACCCCCTAATTTGAATATTTCTTAGATCAAACCCCAAATCGCTTACTGGTAGCTTGTAATAGAAACCTAAACCTATTTACAAACAAACCATTAACTAGAGCGTAAGAAAGACAGTTAATGAATTTGTCCACTAATCTCTCCTGCAACGGCCTTTAGAGACAGCAGGCACAAATACTTCGTACCCTAACAGTTCAAACCCGGCAAGACCGGCTTCCTGTTCCTGTATTTTCTTAAAGCTTGAAAAGCTTCACCTCACAATTCAAAGTTAAGTCCAGCAAAGTGAGTAAAGGAAAACTTCGGGCACTTGGGTGAGCGTGTCTGCTCCCCTCAGCCAGTGCCCGCCCTGCCCCAAGAGGGGGCCGCGGGGATCGCGCCCCCAACCCCCGGTCCGAGGGGCACCTGGCGGAGTGGGCTCTGTCCTGGCTGTCCCACACCTGACCTGACGTCGGGGCGCGCGCGACTCGGTCTGCGCCGCTCCCGCCCGGGTCTCCCCGCGCCACCCGGTCGTCGGCCCACGCACGCTTCGCCGCCAACCCGCTTCGAACCGCCCCGGTACCTGGCGCAGGAGCTTGGCGCGGGCTCGGCGAAGCGCAGGAGGGACACCGTCCGCAGGGTACGGGGTAGGCTTCTGCCGTGAGCGCGCGCGCCCGGCAGCCCCCGCCCGAAACCTCTCAGTCGCCCGCGCCGGAACGCTGAGGCCCGCGGCGCGACGCAGCAGGTGGCCGCTGGCCTCGCCACAGTCCGGGGCCGGGGCCGGAGAGCGGGGCGCGGGCGCGACCCTCGCGCGGACGGCCCTCTGCCTGCTTCGGCGCGCGCTCCCAGCGACAGGCGCGCCGGCTCTGCTCGGCTCGGCTCGGCTCGGCGGGGGCGGACGCCGCGCCGCTCCGCTCTGCTCGCCCGTGGCCGCCGCGCGCACCTCCCCCGCGGCGCGCCGCTTCTGCCGCAGCTGCCGCCGCCGAGTCGCCCCGGCGGCCGAGTCACGGCCAAAAGCTAGTGGGGAAAGACGCCGGCGGGCCCTCGCTGTCCCCGAGCGCCCGGCCGGGACCACTCCCCACCTTGAGGCTGCTCCCGCCGCCCTCCTTCGGCCGGCCCACGCGGAGGCGCTGTAGGGGTTCCCCTCCAGGCCACCCCTACCTTGGCGAGGTCGGGGTCCACCGGCGACCCCGACGGGCCTGGAGGACGAGGAGTCCACGCCCCGGCGGCCCGGCGCTCCTTGGAGGGGAGAGATTCCGCCCGACTCCAGGCTCAACCTTCCAGGTCACCAGGGGGCTTGGCGGGCGACGGTGCGAGGCCTGGGGCGCTCCGGATCCGCCTCGCTAAGCAGGCGGCCCGAGAGCCCGGGGCCGAAGGGAGTGGGCGCAGTGGGTGGGAAGTGTGCATTTTAATAAAAGTAAAAGTTGTTGTTGTTGTTGTTGTTGTTTTTATAACCGTGCGGGTCCGGAGCGTCTCCAGGCTAATTAGGGAAGCTGCCGCCCTGTGTTGAGGTGAATCATTGTTGTGATACCACAAGTGTGGGAAGAAAGGCTGCCGAAGACTTCTCAGGCTCGCTGCCCCCCCCCCTTTATTTTCTTTTAAAGACAGCCTGGTCCATTTAAGAAAATCGTCTTAGGAAACTTACTGGCCTCAGGTGGTCGCTCAGCTCATCAGCTGGAGAGTCCTCAGGGAAGCCTTGGTCGGCTGATTGCACAGCCCAGAACTATGTGCCCCCAAGAGCAAGGAGCTTTTCCGGCAGGGAGGGAAGATGAACGTGAGCTGCGTCCCCGCAGAGACAGAAGCCACGACAGCTTACACGCGAGAAAATTTCACGCTTCAGCTAGAAGAGATAAAGCTAATGTCGGAGAGTGTTACCCGACGTCCGGATTATCAGCGACATCGGCGGTGTTATGTGGTGACCACCCAGAATCTGCACCACATCCTAGGATGGTGGGTCTGATGATTTCTCCCTGCGGAGAACTGAGGACGGTGAGAAGCCAACATTTGCATAACTATCTGCCCCAGAACCTGGGTAAACCCTGGAAGGGGCTTTCTCCACCTCTGGCTTCAGACAGGATCAAAATCCTAAATAGAATAATCTGAGGCAGGGCGAAAAAAGGCTAAAGACAGATCCCATTTACCTGAGCATATAAACAGAAGTTTCCTTTAAAATTTTTAAATACCCATTTGGCACAAGCTGTTCACTTAAAAGCCCCCTTTGATGGTTAAGAGCTTTATAAATTCCTTTCATGAAAGGAATAAATTTATACTGGGAATCAGTCTACAGCCCCCAAGTTAATAACATGCGTTTGAAATGGACAGGTGACTCATCATTCTTAGAGACAATGACTTTGTTAGGTGTGTTTTCTCTTTTCAAAATCCTCAAACTAAACTGAACAACTACAAGTAAATCTACACACCCTTCTCTCACCTTGAGCCTCCGCTTCTTGCTATTCAGAAATCACATTTTTTTTGTTGTAACTACTAAATATTTATTGACTCTATAAGTAACCTTTTCACCTAAGAATTTTATTTGTTCCAGAATATCTTAAGCCTCTGGCTTTATTTGTGTGTGCTGTGGGTGGCTTTTAAAGTTACTGGCGGTTTTGAGAGAACAAAAACCAAAGTTCTTGGTGATTAGCTAAGGCTGAGAAAGAACATAGTGTCAATACCCAAAATAGAAAGTGGTAGGGAACTATGTGAATACGTTAGGAAAATGGGAAATTATCTGGCACCTGGTAGAGCAAGTCCATTTAAAAATGTCCCCCCTCCCGCTTGCCAGTCACTTCCACCTTCTTGCTGAGTCCTCCAGTCCCCAGGGCCCTGCCATGTGGCTCAAGAGAGCTCTTTCCCTTCTTAATGTTTCTTGGACCAAACCTTGAAGCTGGATTGAGAAAAGGATAAAAGGTTAGCAAGGCTTTGCTAAAGGTTCAAAGGAAATAGAGAACCATGTAGTTTCTGGAAGCCTGCACCGACAACCATAAAGTTAAGAGCAAGGGTTTCTTTTTTCCACCCCTCCCTCCCCCGGGCTCCAGAAAACCTCACAGCTATCCCTGAGAACCTCACTGATACAGCAAAAGAAAGAAGACTCTGCTGTTTCTAAGTATATTGAACTTCATCTGGGAACACATTTTTATCAAATGCTAGGCACTGTTCTAAACCATTTACAATTAATCGCTCATTTAAATCGTTCAGTCCCTAGAAGAACGCTGAGCTAAGATCAGGCATTACCCCTGTTCTCCAGATGAGGTTCTGTTATTATCTCCATGTTGTGGATGAGAAAACTCAGGCATGAAAATGGCAAGTAATGTGTGCACAGTCATGCAGGAAGTAGTGGCAGAACCCCCAGTCTGCACGCTTCGGCACTGAACAGGCTGCCTTTCTAAAAGTGGCAACTGATTCTGCAAACTCAAAACTGCCTTTCAGCTTAGAAAAGAAAGGAGAAGTGGCCCTTCCCACACTCAGGAAGAGGAATCCTTTGGGATATCAGAAAACCAGAGTATTTAAGTTCAGTGTTTTTATCCAAGGATTCTGCTCTTGGGTCCTCATTAGACACACAAACTGCCTGTCGTCTCTGGGTTCCAAAAATAGACCCCGTAGGCACAGGCATCCCTACCCAGGTAGAGAATTGAAATGAAGGATCAGCCAGGAACTACCTAGGAAAGAGCGAGGCCATTCTTCTTATGCCCAGGTGAGCCTTGGTGAGAGAGGTCAGATTGAACAGTGTCACAGTCAGAAGGCACATGAACCCTATTCCTGAGGGACTTTTTCCATAAACTGGCTATCCAACAGTATTCAGATCCAGCCACAGTCCCTCCCAACCTCCTCCAGTAATATGAATGACCATGTCATTTCCCTCTTTCAAAGCCCTTCTGTTGGTTTTCATCCAATTAGGAGAAAATCCAAATCCCTTAAGGGAGCCTGATCTGTTCCTCGCCGATCTCTTTCATGGGCTTCTTTCAGTACCACCATCCACTCACTGCACACCAGACTGGCCTTCTTCCAGTTACTAAACACTCCATCTTCTTCCCTGCCCTGGTGCCCTTGCCTGAGCAGCCCCCACTCCTGGAATACTTTGTTTCTGCCCGTCACCTTATCCTCACCTGACTTCATCTTACTAACTTCCTCTTATCCCTCAGGTTTTAGCTTAAATGTCACTTCCTTTGGTCTTTTTTCTTGACCTGTATTTCCCATTTGCACCTCCTCTTTAGAGTACATATCCTGCTTTGTAGGGGGTTATTTTTGGTTTCACACTGAGTGCTCCCAGCAGAGCATGACTTCAAGAGGGCAGAGACTTTATCTGTGTTGAGCATGATTGTTGCATATCCAGCACTTAGCAGAGTGCTTGTACATAGTAGTTGCTTGATAAATATCTCTTAATCCATCACTGTCACAACCTTGGATTGCTATATGTACCTCAAATGTATTAGTCTATGGTACCCACTCCCTCTTTCCAACTCTTCCCTACCCTGGTCTTGCTCTCCCAAACTTCTGCTCTTTCACCTTCTAGGGGCCTTCTGCTCCTTGCACTCTTGTCCTAAGAGTCATCTCTCCATAGCATCCATCCTTTGCAGTCCTGATCCTCATGAACATCACCCCAACTGATCCTCTGTACTCCCAGTGCCCCCCTCATCGCTTGGTCCTGAGTAAAATCACAGAACTATGCAGACCAAAGCCACAAAAATCTACAGTCTCCAGCCTTACTTGGGCCTTACTACCTTTAAACTTTCTCTGAAAAACAAGTAGGACAATACATAAAGTAAGTAAGAAGGAATAATTCCAACCTCAGAGGAATTGCTGTTGCCATTTGATTGTTTTTCCTTCCAGTTTTTCTTTTATAAAAAAGGCAATGGAGTTAGCCTGCAAATTCATTTGTCTTCTATGTAGTTGAGATGAAGCCAAATACATAACTTTGAGTTCTGATATTTTCAACTACATTGTACTACAAGTATATTCCATGGGATAACCAAGTCTCCATAAATATAAATCCTAATGACTGGCTAGTAGTCCATTATGTGCATATACCAATTGATTTTTACCATTTCCCTATTGCATTGCTTTCAATTTGAAGGTATTCTAAAACATTCTTTCACAAATAGCTGTGTACATAATTTGTCTGCATTTATAATTATATCCTTAGAAGTGATCCAGAGGAGGGATTCCTGAGTCAGTGGCTATGAATGAGTCTAGGAATCTGATTGAGTCAGAAGGTAGAAGAAGACCCAAAGGACACAACTAGACACTATTTTCATTTTTCTCTGGGCAGCTTCTTCCCCCATTCCCCACAGCAACTACTCCTAACTGCTCTCATGCAGCATGTGTTCTCAGTCCCCATCACACTCTTCTGAACTGATGATTTTGCTTCCTTCTTCAGAAAAAATTCAAGTTACTAGGGATGGAGATAGTTTTGTTAATCAACTGACTTTAAAATACAGAGATTTTCCTGGATTATTCAGGTGGTCCCAATGTAACCACGGAGGTGCTTAAAAAGGGAAGAGGGAGCAGAGAGATGATAGTATGAGAAGGACTCAAGTCAATATTGCTGATTCTGAAGGCATAGGGTGGGGCCACAAGTCAAGGACAGTGGGTAGATTTTAGAAGCTCAAAAAGACAATAGAATGGATTCACAAATCCTTCCAACACCTGGATTTTAGCTTAATGAGACACATATTAGAGTTCTGACCTCCAAAATTTTAATTAGTGTTGTTTTAAGCCACTAAATTTATGGTAATTTGTTACTGCAACAATAGGAAAGTAATACAAAATTTATCATGAAACTCCCTACCCTTATTCCTGGAAACTCCACTTCTCTATCCCTACTCAATGGCATCTACAGCAGAGTTCCCATTAAACATGCCTTGTATGAATTCCAGGTGAATAACTTTAATATTTTATTTATTCTATTTTTAAAGATATTTACTTACTTACTTACTTGAGAAAGAGAGAGAGAGAAAGAGCAGGAGCAGGAGGGGCAGAGAAAGAGGGAGAATCTCAAGCCAACTGCACTGAGCATAGAGACCAATAGGGCTCAATCCCATGTTCCTGAGATCACGACCTGAGCCCAAACCAAGAGTCAAATCCTTAATTGACTACTATCCAGGTGTCCCTAACTTTAATATTTTAAATGGAGGTTATTATTCAGACTGCTGTAATGGGATTCATTCAGACTCTTAGCTGAGACTCATCTAGGCTTTCCTACTTTCTTTTTTTAAAGTTTTTTTTTTTAAGTGGATCTTTTTTTTTAAGATTTCATTTATTTATTTGACAGAGAGAGATCACAAGTAGGCAGAGAGGCAGGCAGAGTGGGGGAAGCAGGCTCCCCACTGAGCAGAGAGCCCAATGAGGGCTGAGTCCCAGGACCCCAAGATCATGACCTGAGCCGAAGGCAGAGGCCCAACCCACTGAGCCACCCAGGCGCCCATCCTACTTTCTTTTTTGACAAATAGTCTGAAATTTTGGACCCTTGGGCAGCCATCTAAATACCTTTCAGGATTGTTCATAACAATATCTTCTGGTAACTCAAAAACATTTTTGATTTTAACTTGCCCAAATTTTGTAAGATTTATTTTTAGTTCTTCCCTCTTAAAGTGTTCATTATGACATCTAAGAATCATAGTTATGCTAGTTTTTAACACTAATAATGTAATTTTTCCATAAAACTCTTATTTTAACCTAACAAATATTTGTTTGTCCAATGGTATCTGCTTCCTGGACTGGGTATGAATCTAAAAGGTTATTTTGGAAAAATGCCCACGACAGTCCCCATTTTATGTTTATATGGAAGAATATTTTAAATAAGAGACATGAGAACTTAAGCTTATGAAGAAAAAGTCTAAACTGCTACTTTTCTTTTGGGCAGAGAGATAAAACAAGCATATATCTGATTTATGTGCTGGCCCACATAGCTCTTTTTGCAAATATGGCTTTAAACCAGCTAATCTTTTAAAAGTCTTTACACTGACTAATTTAGAACCAAGGAGAACAAATGTGGGAGTATAAATGTAAGGCAC